CTGTTTTCTGGATCTGTAAATATGATGATAAAAGCTAGCCATATTTACAGATCCAGAAAACAGAAGGAAGACAAATATAGAAAAATCTGGGTAGAAGGATCAAGAGAAGCCTCCTGATCCTTTCTTACCATCAATGCTACAACCAGACTTGTAAGAAGCTAAACAAAGAGGTATGGAAGGATTTTTCACAGGTTCCTACTTCTTCTGAAATTCAGGAAGCAAGCCCACCTTCAAACTTTATGTAAAATCAAACACAGCCCAGCCAGTCAGATTTCCACCTTCCTGTTACTGCAGCACAATCCACATTCTCACAGCCAGCAACAGAAGAGTAGGAATTGCACTGGAATTGGAGTTATAGGTTTTCCAAACTTCTAATAGATGGCAATCTTTTTTGCAAAATTAAAATTGGATACATGTTTAAACACCACGGAAAGACGAATGTGCACATAAGAGTAGAAATTAATCATCCTCGAAGAAAACCCACCCTCTTTCAGGCGTGAGTTATTATTCTGATTGGACTTCCTGCTTAATTGGCAGGCCCACAGCAATTTCATACACATACAATAGGCAATATTCTCCTCTACTGATGTGGATTCAGACACACCTCCAATTACTTGCAGCACACTCATAAGTCTTCATACAGTATTTAAAAATGATTGTTCTGTGCTCTGCACAGTTATCTGCAGAATATCATGAAAATGGAAGTGTCAGAACTTTAAGATTCTTCAAGTAGTTCATAATACAGTGATGAGAATACCTGACATCCTGCGTAAACTTCCAGAGAAAACGGGCCAACGGCAAACTTTTCACCTACTTTATACTAGATTACATTCTAGTCCAACGAGTCTAAATATACAACTGGGAAGAGGGGGGTAAAATAGCACTTTGAACAGGAGATCTCCCATACCTCAAATCTAGGCAGAATGAATGCATAAGCATTCAAAATGGTTTAATCAGCATGCATGCCGTATCTGTACTCCAAGACTGTATTAGCTAATGAAGTAATAATATCTCTGCAAGAGCAACTATTGCAGGACAGAACTAGGTAGATGAGCTGCTCTCCCCAGTGTTAAAAGGATATTCCCTCAAAGTTTCCGGCAATTCCATTTTCTTATAGAGCCGTCAAATAAGCCCATTTGATTTTCAGCTCTGAGCTCAGCATCTACAACACTTTCTTCAGTGTCATTTTATTTGAAAGAATAGTAACAGATTATCTGATCAAAACCAAACCCACTCAGCCAAATCTCTTTGAACTAGTGCACTTAAAGAAAAAGCACAGAGAAACATTGGTCTCACCAGACAAGGGAAAGGAATGCAGAGGAATAATGGCGCATATATACCTCTTTCTCTCAGGGATGAGAGAAGGCAATACCAGCCAATACATTAGGCAGAAAATGTGTACACATCAGAATAGAAACTTTTATGTGGTAAGATAGCCACAGTGCCAAATACAGTGGTGCTTAAAAGTTTGTGAACCATTTTGAATTGTCAGTATTTCTGCATAAATATGACCTAAAACGTGTCCTTCACACAAGTCCTAAAACTAGATAAAGAGAACCCAATTAAACAAATGAATCAAAAACATTATACTTGTTCATCGATTTATTGAGGAAAATGATCCAAACCTACATATTTATAGGTGGCAAAAGTATGTGACTCTCTAGAATTATCAGTTCATTGGAAGGGGAAATTAGAGTCAGGTGTTTCAATCAATGAGATGATAATCAGGTGTGAATGTGGGAGGTCCTGTCTTATTTAAAGAACAGAATTCTGGGTATTCACTGTCAAAGTCTGATCTTCACAACACACGTATGTGGAAGAGTGTCATGGCTTGAACAAATGAGATTTTTGAGGACCTCTGTAAAACAGTTGTTGATGCTCAACAGGCTGGAAAAGGTTACAAAACTATTTCTAAAGAGTTTGGACTACACCAGTCCACTGTCAGGCATACTGTGTAGAAATGGAGGCAATTCAACACCATTCTTACCCTCTCCAGGGGCGGCTGACCAACTAAGATCACACCAAGAGCAAGACGCATAGTACTCTGGGAGGTCTTAAAGAATCCCATGTTATGTCTAAGGAAGTAAAGGCCCCTCTTGCATTGGAGAATGTCAGTATTCATGAGACCACCATCAAGAGAACACTGAACAACAATGCTGTGTACAGTAGGGTTGCAAGGAGAAAGCCACAACTCTCCAAAAGGAACACTGCTGCTCCTCTACAGTTTGTGAAAGACCACCTGGATAAACCAGAAGGCTATATTGCAAGAATGTTATATGGATGGATGAGACCAAAAGAGAACTTTTGGGCTTGAATGAAAAGCATTCTGTCTGGCAAAAGGCAAACATTACATTCCAGCATAAGAACCTGATCCCATCTGTGAGACATGGTGGTGGCGGTATCATGGTTTGGGCCTGCTTTGCTGCTTCTGGACCAGGATGGCTTGCCATAATTGATGGAATTATAAATTCTGAATTATATCAGCAAATTCTATAGGAAAATGTCAGGGTAACTGTCCTTGAACTGAAACTCAAGATAAAGTGGGTTATGCAGCAAGACAACAACCTAAACACACACAAGTCATATAATCAAAGAATGGCTAAAGCAGAAAAAAATTAATGTTTTGGAATGGTGAAGTCAAAGTCCTGATCTTAATCATATATAATATTGTGGAAGGACCTGAAGTGGGCAGTTCATGTGAGGAAGCCCACCAACCATCCTGGGTTGAAACTGTCCTGTAAGGAGGAATGGGCTAAAATTCCTCCAAGCTGACATGCAGGACTGATTAACAGTTGTCGGAAACGTTTAATTGCAGTTATTGCTGCCCAAGGGGGGCACACCAGTTACTGAAAGCAAAGGTTTACATACTTTTGCCACATACAAATACGTGGCTTTGAATCATTTTCCTCAATGAATAAATAAACAAGTGTAATGTTTTGACTCATTTATTTAATTGAGTTCTCTTTGTCTAGTTTTAGGAGAACAGAGCACGTTTTAGGTCATATTTATGCAGAAATATTGACAATTCAAAAGGGTTCACAAACTTTTAAGACCACTGTAGATGTAATACCTCATGAAGTACCTAAACCTACAAATTAAATTTGAGTAGCCAAATTTAGATCTAAAGGGGACATCATTCCTGGACAGCATTTGCCACATGTTTATGAGCCCATCCACTGTAAGCAAACCATATACATTGATTTTATCTCAAATGTCATTATTCCAGAAGCAGGGGAGATACAGAAACAATACTTTTGACCAGGAGACCCACCTAGACAATAGCTGTTTCTTCAAATGGTAAGTGAGCAGGGGATGATAGCTAAGCAAGTGTAGAGAATATTCAAGTGCCTTGTGATTAGACGACTGAGACAATCAGATCTCATTTTACAGAAAAGTCTCATGCAATGCATTTCCCAAAGATCAGCTAGATGCTCCTACCAACAGAATTCATCAACTTAAGCCTTAAGGACCATACCACATACAGTTATTTGTTATTTTCTTCATCCACTTGCACAGCTCCTTAAGCCCTTCCCTGTGTTTGCCTGAAGTTAAGACTTCAAAGAGCAACTGAATCAGTGTAGGTGATGTATTACAACAAGGATTCAGAGGTATTTTCAAGAAGGAAAATATAAGTAACAACTAGGAATGTCATAAGAGAAAGCCCATCTGACAGAGCTTTGTATCACAGCATTTGTCAGTCAGGATTCATTGGCACACTCAGCTTCCACTTTGAACTACATTTTCACTCCTCACTCCCACCTTAAGTTAAAAATTAGTGACATTTAGGAACTGAGACTTGAAGCCTTATCTAGTAAAGCACAGATGAGGTGGCCAGTGTATGTGTGGACATTCCATCACACCAATGGCACGCAACAGAAGGAGGTAAAGACTGAAATTATGCAGAAAGAGAGACTTTTCCATAAGTATACTTCCCTACTCTATTTTTAACTGAGTTAAATGCCCTCAGGCATCATATAGAAAAAGCCTATCAAAAGCCACATTCATTGCCAGATTGATAACCCCACAAATTTAGCACTAGGAGCTAGGCTTAAAGTTATAGTTCCCATGTCTGGATCTCCTGGAACACCTTTTGGAGACACTTGCTTTTCTGTACAATTAAGTGCACATTGTTTGTGGCAGCGAGGTGGCCTATTTTGGGACTTTTACTTTTGTTACGAAAGAAGATCTCCACCACCACGTTTTAAGTATCAGTCACTAGCACATTATACAGGTACTTACCAGTATCTCACCCTTTAGAGGTTGGCAAAATTAGTTGTGCAGGTAAAATAAGGAAAAGCAGAATGAGGGGACAAAACAGTGGAAAAAATCAAATAAATTGAGTAGAAGGGGAAAAGGGAAGCAGAAGCATAAAAATGGTAGGGGGGAAAAAAAAAGAAAAGTAGAAAAAACAGTAAAAGAAAAAAGTTACATGCTATTAATTATAATTGTACAGTGTTAATGTTTCATTACAGTCTTTCCAAAAAAGAATCAACATATGTTGATATATTGTATATAAACTAATCATCATGCAACGTTAAATTGCCAGTCTTGTGCCTAATTCCTGGCTTTCAAAAATGGGAAGTATCTCAAAACTGACAAATTCTCCAAGGAATGAATGCTATGGTTGCATTATTTATTTTCTCTAATTATTTTCTTTGTAATTAGCATTGTTTTCTGATCGTTTCTCAAGGGAAATGGGAATGCACCTTGCAGAAACAGTTTCAGTCTAAATCATACAGTGAGAAACTTGAAAGTACTGTGCTTTCTGTAATTTGATCCACTTCCATGTCATTTTCTATTTTCAGATGACATAAGGAAAGAGCATTACTTCCTACATTACACAGTGCCATGCTCACGAGCCTGTCCAACTTTCTGCAACTACTTATAAAATGCCCAACAGACTGGACTGGGTGTGTGGTCACTAAGTCACAATCTGCTGAAAGAAGGAGAAATGAATCAGTACCTGATTTGGAATTGCTCTTTTCTTATTTGCTTGGGTGCTCCTTTGCTGCGCACTGAAAGAAAAAGCACAAAGAGAAATAAATGCTTTTTCACTAAACATGCATATTCCATGTCATTCCGCACCCCCCAAAGCTAGCTTATATGTTAGCAATGCTCTAAGACAACAATACAGTCATTTCTGTTCAAGTCAAGAGAAGCTAACAAACATGCAAATAAGAAAGTGCCAGTGTTTGAAGAAAAATATCACCAATAATTAAGCTAACATAAGCAACACAACAGATTCTGCTAGTACCAGAATACTACCCAGCCAGAGGAGTTCTGAAACATTCCACTTCAAGTCCTAAATTAGTAGGGGGAAAAAACTAAGCCTCAAGCCTGTAACTGCCTGCTTGCTACAGAAGCAGGTGAAAAACTGGCTTTAGGAAAGAAATGAGAGGTGCTTAGTCTAGTTCCAAGCTGAATCTTTTTTAGGGCACTTACTTTTCAGTGAATAAACAGAAAATCCCTGTGTTTGGATGACGAGGAAATGACAAGTACAGCCAGACTGTACACTGGACTGATGATTCTAGGTGTCTTTTTAAACTGTTTTTTTTTTTTGTTTTATATTATTTTGTACTATTATTTTCTGTATTACAAAAAGTACTGCCTTACGCACCCCGGAGGTGAAAAAGCAGTAACTTAAGCAGACATACATTTTAAAAAGTTTTTTTGGGGGGTGGTGGTAATCCAGTTCTTTCTTAATTTGTCTGATCTCAGTCTTAATTCCAACAACATATGCCAGCAATAACACTTTAAATTGGCTGTATTGCAAAGGTTTAGCTCTGACCACAAGAAAGAAGATACTACTGTCAGTCATTCATGCACCCTAGTCATCTCCCAAATGGACGACTGCAATGCACTCTATATGGGAAGAGTATCTGGAAGCTTCAGCTGGTGCAAAATGCAGTGGTGCAGGCAGTTATGGGTGCTCCAAGATCTGCACGTTACACCTCTGCTACACGAGCTGCACTGGTTGCCAGTTTGCTTCCAGGTCCAATTCAACCAACCAGGTGTTGGTTATAACCCTTAAAGCCCTACATGGCATGGGACCATGATACTTCAGAGATCACCTCTCCCTGGTTACATCTACCCATCCCATCAGGTCCAGCAGGAGAGGCATGTTGTTGGTCCCATCAGCTAGGGAATGTCGTTGGGCAGGTCCTAGGAAGAAAGCCTTTTCTGCTGTAGCCCCCGCCCTATGGAACATCACTCCCCCCGAGATGAGTGATCTCATCTCCAACTCTGTTGGCCTTCCGGAAGGCCCTTAAAACATGGCTTTATCATCTAGCTTGGGGATCCCATGGTAGAGTGGTGCCTGTTAGACAGTAATATGACAGTTAATGGAATGTACTCTCTGTATGTTTTCCTGCCATTTTGTTTTTTATTTGTTCTTATCTTATTTTTAATTTAAATTGGTTGTTTTTATATATTGATTATTACTATGAACGCCGCCCAGAGATGGGCAACTATACAAATGTGATTGAATAAATAAAGACCTCTGAATGTGGCTCTGTTTCCAATTCTAAAAACACTGGCCTCTCAGTTTATAAGGGATACATTTATAAGGAATACAGTTTATAAGGCTTATAGGAAGCATTTGTTTTTCTGTGCTGTCTTCCAAAGTCACCTTCTAGTATTTTCTGCTCTGCTTAGACACAGAAATATAATCCCCATTCATCTTACATTATTAACATATACAATTAAATTTAATTTTTAAAAATTAAATATGGCTATCATTTTTTAATATAGAGATTGGAGATTTGCTATCCTCATCTAAGATTCTGATCTTTGTTGTTGTTACAGTACTTTTCTTTTGGTGCCTGCAACATTATGCACTGATGCATGCCACCTAAAAACCTTGCTGATCCCTCTATCATGCCATGCACTGACATGTGAATTGTAAATGAAAGGAAACTTTAATCAAGGGTTTCCTCAAATTTCATAATATTACAAGTTTCCTAATATGACCAATGAATTTGTGTGACTCCCTCACTCCCTGAATAAAATTAATTGTTTCACTGGGATTGGGCAAAAAATAAATATACCACCTATTTTTTATAATTACATTTTATTAAGTTCTCAAACTCTGAGGTACCACAAAACTGCTCATTGCACATTTGGCACTGCTCCCACTTTGCCTTCATGTCTGATCACCTTTTAAAAAATTGTGACCTCCCCCGTCCCTCCTGGGGTCCTGACACACAATGTGAGAAACCCTGCTCTAACCTAACCTTCCCCCCAAGAAAACATTTGCACCTATATGTTAAAGTTTCAAATACCAAATAAATCAATAAATCAAGTTTCAAATAACATGCTGAATTATTTTGTCCACATGGTTGCAGATAAGTTCAAGGCCCATGCATTCATCATCAGCTGCTCTGACATAAATGTAGATCTTCGATTCTGAGCCTATAAATGTAAATGGATGCATTATTTCCAGAGAAGCTGAACTGAATGGACTATCAAGGGATACAAAATACCTTTATAGGTATTGCTCCTTTTATATATTCTGTCCCCTAAAGGAACATACTCTTCCCAAGACATAGGTATCACTGTTCATTCTTGCAATGCAAGTTGCCATCACTTTATTGTGGTTTTGAACGTACTAGCAGATTTTATACATCATGCTAAACCATAGTACCATTTGGAGGTGGTTCTGACTTATCATGCTAATTATGTTCTATTTAATAAACCATGCTTAAACAAACCACAGATCAGCATGATACACAAACCCAGCCACTAAGTGTTGATATTCCATAGAACTTCAAATTAGGAAGATAATTTACAATGCTAATTCTGATTTGTGATTCCCAACTTTCAGACCTAGAAACAGCAACTGTGGGGCACCATCTTCTTGGGTGGATGTAACTGACTCATTTCTGAAAAATGAGTGCCCTATTACCCGCAGTATAAGGCTCCAAACAGTAGAAGCATTTCCCTCTTCTATGCTGCAGAGTTTTAAGCCCAGCATTCAATTAGTGATCATGGACATGTCACACAGTTCTGCTCATATTGCTCCACTTGCCTTTTAAATTTGAACCTGATTTCTTGTTCGCAGTACCAGAAGTCTCAATAAATGAGACATAAAAGGTAAATAAGATATTGAGAGAGAGAGAGGCAAATAGCCATTCAGAAAGTAAAGGTCCTGCTTCCGGTTAGAGTAGTTTGAAGGCAGTATTTACATGCTTGGCAACAGAAATGTTCAATAACTCAGAATTCGAGAAATGAAACCTAGTTTTGTGTCCCTTTCAGTTTTGGCAGGAGAAAAATTCTCTCATCTACACTGAAATATAAGAATGTAAGCAACAGAAGGAATTGCTCCAACTGATCAGAAGAAATCCATGCTATTTTTATCTTTTCTTATCTGCAGCACAAACAAGACCTTCAAAGAAAGGATCTTTGCACTGTTAGACACATTATGCTTGACAGATAACTAGGAGTGCTTGTTTTTGGAGTGAAGATTTATAAGAAGTCATTTCTACTGTTCAATTCTAATCTTCAATCCAGTTGCAAGACACTTTCAGCAAGTGTTCCAAAGAGTTAGACAATTTGGATTCTTGCTGTAATAGGGAAAAACTCTCACAAGCAGATACGCACCCAGCCACCATGTGCTGCTCAGTGTAACAGCTGGGGAGTTTTGGAGAGTTTCAAAGGCATCCAGAAGCAAAAGTGAGACAATTCAAAGAAAAACCAAGACAGATTAAAGAAAAGAAGGAACTCTGTATTAAGAGGGAAAGAAGAGATATGAATGCACACATGCTGGAAAGAAACTCACTCTCAGGCCATTTGACACACTGATGGCAAATATTTTATAAAGGTCCTTGGGGTCACATCACAGTATAAAAAGAAAACAAATCAAAAGGATTCAGGGATTTCTTTTATGGAAATCATTGATTTAAGAAGTAGCAAGCTTTTGCCTTTACCAAAAAACTTTTAAACTCCTGTATCAAAAGACTGCTTGGTATTTTAATACAGAGAAAAAAACACCGTATTAACATATTTTAAAAGTTTGCAAGTAAGTGAAAGTAGATTTTGTCAAAGAACCTAAACAGGTACATAACAGCATATGAAAGAAGAAGTTACAGGAACACTCCAGCCTTTTGCAGCTGGCACTACAGCTGCCTATCTTGAGTGCAGAGACTATGGGAGGACACACACAATACAAACAAGTTGCCAAGGAATTACAGCTACAGTGCCTGAGTTGGAGGAAAAGGGAAAGATTGACAAAGTTACGTAGAGCAGATATTCAAAAAAGAAAACTGCCAGTCCTACACTGGCAGGCAGGCCTTAGGTTAGTTGTAAATAGAAATAGATTGAACACAGAAATGGAAGTGCGCACAAAGATAAATAATTCCAATCTCCACTCTAAATATACAGTTTCACTCAAAAAAGTTCATTAGAACTTTCTGAATAGATTATGTTCCAACTGAATAAAGCTCAGACTATTTCAAGAATATCTTACAAATAAGATTAAGACTATGTAAACATGGTATAGTATGATTAAGCACTTTGCACTGTCAGCGGTTTGTTGCAGCTGCTCTGAGCCCGTGTGTATATGCACAGAGAATATAGCCACCAGACTACCATGAAAGTGAAGTAGTATACTATCTTTTTGCAGTCTTGTCTACACAAAAACCCATAGCACTGAGCCCAGTAAAGAAGCAACAAACTTTTCAAAAGGAAATTAAAAATCTAAGGAGACTACCAAACTTTTAAAAAGTATTTTTCAAATCAAAAGGGAAAAGAGAACCCAGACTATGATGGGCCAAAGGTAATTTCTAGTGATGCCATCCAGGAAACACATGATAAGCAAATTCAGAATAACTTAACTTAAAGGTACAGGTAGTCCCCAGTTTAAGACCGAGTTCTGTTCCCAAAGTCTATCCTTAAACTGAATTTGTATGTAAGCCAGAACAGTATTATTGTATAATACTGCTTATACAGTATTGTGTAATTAACTCAAACCATTGTGTTTGTAATTTGAATCACTGTGTATTTAACTCAAATTCTGCTGCAATAGGCTCCGTTCTTAACTATAGGTCGTCTCTGGGCATTCTTAACCCAGGGACTCCCTGTATTCCACTACAAACCCCTTGATCCTAGCCACAGAGGCAGTACACTTCTCAAATAACAATGAATTAGGGATGTTGGAGAAATAATAGATACTTCATTCCCTTTTAATCTTTCTGAACAGATGAATGTGAGTGATGCCTACCCTCAATTATTTTTTCTCAAAGCCTGATCATCAGAAATAATAAAGGATTTTTTTTTTAAAAAGCTACAATTTTTAATCAGAACCTGATAGAAATAATTAGAAACTTTTTCAAGCCTTAAGATATAGGCAGTCCTCATTTAGCAACTGCCTCGCACAGCGACTGTTTGCAGTTATGACAATGATGAAAACTAACTTTGTGACCAAAATTCACATTTACAACCTTCACAGGTTTGTAAAGCAAAGGAAAGCTGAAGTAAGATCATAAGCACAGTCACAGTTTCACTTAGTGACCACCTGGCTTAATGACCAAGTTGCCAGTCCCAATTGTGGTCACTAAATGAGGATTACCTGTACTCTTAGATTAGCTGTTGTAATTTACCTTGCACTTTCAAGCCAGCAGTACTTTAACCATAGAGAGGAAAGTGCTTCCCTTTCACATGCTTTCATATATGGCAACTGTTATTCTTGAATTTGTAATTCTGAGACTCACAGCATAATATTATGCTATTGCTTAGTTCAAAAAAATAATTTTTTTTAAAAAGTGTCTATTTGGGTAAATTGCCCTCAAATTTCAGAAGAGAGTAGAACCCAAACCAAAGTGTAATAAAGCTTCTTCCGATCAATTTCACTTTAACTCAGTCTTAATAACAACATACAAAGCTTCTTTACAATGCAAAATCAAGCATTTAGTTTCTATTTGGTCCAGGTGAAAAACAGGTATTTAGACAGATGATGCTCTCTGCTCTTTAGTAAAGAACAGAGATACTATGTAGACCACATGCTTTTCTAGATCTTTATTAGATAGCAAACACTCACTTGGCAAATCCAATAAAGTCTTCATGATTTGTGTTGATATAGGATAGCTCTATGTCAATCAGCAGGAGAATCTGAAAAAAGAATGGCAAGAGTTTCTCAGCTATATGGCAACATAGTTTTAAAAACTAGCCCATCTAGTCTCTCATTCTGTATTTAGGGAAGATCACCGATGTAGATTAGCTTGCTTATTTACATACATACATACATACATTTAAAGAACACCCAACTCCAACCAATACTGGACACTTAATAGCCAGAACAATAAAATAACAAAACAGACTACATGTATGCAGAAAAACATACTGAACAAATCTTACAAGAATAAAATCTTACAGATTTACCCACCACCCTGCCCCAAGGTCTAGGAGAATAGCCAGTTTTTCCGTACCTTTCAGAACAATAACAGGGTGGAAGACATATGGCTCTTTGACAGAATACTATTCCAGGGGGCAGGCACAGCAACAGAAAAGGCATGCCTCCAAGGCCCCAGTGCATAACATTAACTGAAGGGACCCAAAGTGCACCCACATAGTTAGATATTACAGGATGGGCAGAAACAATCAGAGATAGATGGTCCCTCAAATAACCAGGCCATATGCCATGGAGGGCTTTATTAGTGGTAACCAGCACCTTGAATTGCACCTAAAAACCAGCTGGCAGTAATGCAGCTCGCGGAGCAATGAAATCACATGAGCATACTGTGACATGCCTATTACTGCCCATGCTGCTACATTCTGGACCAGCTGCAGCTTCTGAGCCAGTGCTGGTGAACCTATGTCACACATGTCAAAGCTGACATGCCACGATGTTTTGGGTGACACCCCAGCGTTCACCAACACCCGACAACTATTCTTCCTGTTTGAATTACCAAAGAAACTGAGTTTTACTCGTATTTCATTTTTGTAATTATTTGAGGTTTCTTTATATAATACATAGCACCACACGTGATTGGACTGTATTTTTTAAAATAAATGAATATGTAAAGAATTGTTTCTCTTTTGTTCAGAACGGGGTGACACACCAGCAGAGTCAAGTTAGGCATTTTCCAAATTTTTGACACGCCAAGCCCAAAAGGTTCACCATGACTGTTCTAAGTAGTTTTCAAGGGCAGCCTCATGCAGAGTAAGTACATTGTAATAGTCCAATCATGAGGTGACTAAGGCATGAGTCTGGGCATAACCTGGGGGCTATGGGGATCTGGATGGGGAAGAACAGGCTTCAGCTTAACCCTGGCAAGACAGAGTGGCTGTGGTTTTTAGGGCCCCCTGGACCCAGTGTTTCTCCACTTCGGGTTCTGAATGTGCTTGCACTGCCCCAAACAGAACCCTAACCCTCCTAGACTCATGACTCCTCTTCAAAGAGCAGCTGGCAGCCATGGCCAGGAGAGCTTTTGCTCAGACTGCATATTCTACTGCTTATGCATTGTCTATAATGTGCAGTTGTAGCCCCTCTTCCCTGGCCCCTCTCTAGCAATGCAAAGGGAGCAGTATTGGTTCTTGCCAATGGGGCAAGGAGTAAAACACCCTGCAAACATTACACCTGTTTGCTGAAAAAAGTTGCTTTACTTTAAAAAGATGCTGGTCTGAGCCTGCATTTTTCTATACCACTGTAACTCATAAAAGGACTATAGGAAAAAATGCAGAGAGCTGGTCTAGTTCAAATAATTTTTTTCAAAGTTGTGGCTTCAAAACCTGAGAGTTCAGTACTATCTGCACTGCCCTCAAACAGAAGTACTATAAATCCTACTACATTACCTTAGTCCAGTGTTTCTCAATTCCTCAGCGTGCTGAGGAGTTGAAATCCACACATCAAAGTTGTTGAGACTGAGAAACACTGGACTAACCTAACAGTAATTTCAGCTCACTACAAATACGAAAGAGGTCAAGCCAAGGAAGAGTTCATTTTGTTGTGATTCTGATCCTTCTATTCTTGGGTCAGTCCAAAAGGTTCTCTGGCAGGTAAGGAAGCAGACTGCTTACCTGGTCCTTAGTTTTTCCTTCACGTTCTCTGATGTATGTAGTAACAATTCTCTCTGTCTCTTCTCGCAGCCTGGGATAGGAACCAAGCTAAGGACAATTGGATAAGACATCAGATCTCTGCAGCCTTAAGCACTATTCATACAGACGCACAAGGAAAAAGGAAAGGTTGGGCTGGGCTGCCTCCCTGTTTTATCACTGGGGAAGGACCGATTTACCAATTAAGAGAAATTTATTTTTACCAATTTAGGATACAACCATTTTAATTATATTAATCTATTTTGCCACAATGCATCCCTTATACTCCCCCAATGATCTTCTGGGAAATAGCCCAAGATCCTTCTGGGGTTTAGTAGAAGAAAGGAGCACACAGAAGACTGGCTTCTTAGTATCACAGGGAAAATAAGTTGCTTGTTCTTTTTTTTCATTACAGAGAATTATTCATTATATATTGTCTGCATGCTTATAAATACATTCCAGAGCGTCTTTCATGACTTACATGTTTAATATAGAGAGAGTACCTCAAATAAAGTCATGTGAAGTGCTCCTTTAGTTCCTTTCAAAATAAAATACAACTACAGTTGCTATGATCCAAGATACAGCATTACTGCAGGACCCTATTGTGTACCAATCCAAGTGCAAGAACCCACAGGAAAGGTAATCTTACATCCCGAGCAGTCAAATGAGTATCCGAGTCATGTGGGTCAAATGCCATTAATTAGTCAGAAGAATGGAACCTGCTGTAGTCTCCACTGCTTCTTATATGAATGTATTCAGGCTTTCTTTTAGCTAGACACCACAAGAAGCCATACTCCAGGTGTTACCAAGAGTTAGGGAGATAGGGAAGTGGAAAAAAGAGTATAGACCCATTACCTTCTCTGAACACTTTTTAATGACCATGGCCAGCTCTGAGACCACCAGATCAACACACTTCAAACTGGGCTCTTTGAGCTTTATAATCTGTTTTTTCACTATTGCTTCAAAAGCCATATCAGGTGTGAAGAGCCCCGTCCTGCACCATGCAGAAAGCATGAACACAAAGGAGAGATTCCGAAGAATAGGGGAAAAATAACAGAGAGGGAAAAAGAGATTGAAACGGTTAGTACTGTGCAAAATGAAAAAGCAGCAGCACTTCCTCAAGAAGATCCTTCTTGGATTGTCAAAATGAGCAATTCCCTCCCAGAATCTCTCAAGAGTTATGCTCCTCAGCAGCTTCAGACAGGATTCAAATTCTGCAGCAAATGGACTGTAATCTACTTGGCTCATCCTTGTAAAATACTCCATGTGACAGTAGGAAGTCTTGGCTAAAAGCATGGAAGTCCACCTCTTACTTGCTACCCTCAAAAGCCATGAAAATGTCTTAGCATAGCAACAGGGAAGGAGTTATGGTTGCTTCTCATTGTGCCTACAGCTAGCCTGTTGGTCTAGAGCATAAACAACCAACTTATGGCATACAGGCTACAACCACAAATATAAAGAACTCTTGGAAAAAAGCAGAAAGGCCTCAAGGTTTCAGACTATGTCAGAAGCAGATTTTTAAGTCCTGCCTCACTGAATAGCTGAGCTAGCACCAGCCTTCAGTCTGAAAAGACTAGACTCAAACTTCCTTCAAGCACAGGACTCTGTACACAGACTTATGGTTGTCTGCTGCTGTCTGAAAGCCTTTTTACCTAACAGGCATCTAGGGCATATAGGTTGGGGAAAAAAGAACAGTACTGGTGATGGTTGCCACTTTTAATTAATAGAATTATTGACTTTCCACTTCTGGAATAGCTAATTAGCACCATCACTGGAGCTTGAAATTTTGTTTGTCTGGACTGAGCCAGAAAAGACAAGATTCACATGACTCACTGCTTTTCCATATCTACATGTATTCCTCCAGCATGTCAATGAAAATATTTCTGTGTTACACGTTAGTTTTCTCTGTGCAGAAGAAATGTTTTGAATTAAGAAGGATTCCAATACAGTATACAGGCCCTTACATACATTATGGGTGTATCAGTAAGGAAGAGACCTCTTTCAGAAATCAGCACCTCAACTGCACTTCAGTGACCATAGTTTGCCCAAAACAAAGTCCAACAATACTTTCTTGGTCATTTAGTCTAAAAGAAATGCCACTACCAAAACATGGAAATAGTAGTCAATCCCTCTTTGCAATAGCTATTACATGTAGTCCTATTTTATCATTCTTACAATCTCTTCCCCTGACTCCTCGCCAGTACCTCTTTTCAGATTCAGTAACAAGCAAGTTATTTCCATGTTCAGATTAAAAAGTCCTGTACTATACTTTTGGGGAAAGACTTCTGTAATGAGTCCAATGGCATCTCAGTACATGTCAGCTGGTCAACTACTATTGAAAAAGATAACAGGAGATCCTGTTGCATTTGAGTAAGTGGGACCTGAAGGACCTTGGAGAGCAAGTGCTGGCTTCTTCACATTGTATCAACAAAAGCTCAATTCCTCTGTCAGAAACAGATTCAATCCAGCACATATAGCACTGCAAGAGGCACGCAATGTAAACCGCTCTTCACAGGGTGTTCTTCACTACTTTGCTATTATAAAAAAATATCACCAAGAAGGTATACAGACAATGTGATCCTGAAATCTTGGTTTGGACACCTTGCTTTTGATTCCAAAAAATTTAATCAGAGAGAAGTCAGTTTCTTGACCAATCAGGTTTTAAATATATATGGATAAGCCAATTATACTGGAACAATGGAATGTCTATTTGAAGAAGGCTTTTAGAATGGAGAGAGTTCATTATTTCAGTCAACACAGTTGAAGTTACCTTGCCAAAACAGCTTTAGCATTATTGGCCATGTTGCTATGAAAAAACTTCAGAGAAAGCGGTTTAAATGGCAGATCAAGAAGCCATGCACTTAACAGAAGGCCAGGATCCAAGAAGAAATCAGCTTGCTACTTTGAACAACCTCCAGACAGCTCACAAAGGCTTCTGTTTGAGAGCAGAGGATGAAAACAGGAGAGGCCTAAGGCACAAACCACTTCTGCTAACTGAAATGTGATACCAAAATTGTTGTCTGGATCACAAAATACCATATTTAAGCATTTTATAGAAAAATAGGAAACAAGACAATCTCAACATTAGCCAATCAGGATTTTAGAAGAAGTTTGCAGCAATTCCTGGAGGTTGTATTAGGCAAGTTGCGAAAAATAGAATAGTACAGTTTTAGGTTTTCCCAACCCAGTCAAGTAAGGGCTACAATGCCTCTAGCTAGTTCAATACCTTACTGGTACACTGTCTAACTGTATTGATTAACTCCTGAATAACCAAGTCGACACACTTCAAACAAGGCTCTTTCAGCTTCACCACCTGCTTTTTCACAATGGCTTCAAATGCCAAGTCTGGTGTGAACAGCCCCGTCCTATATCAGCACAGGGAGGAGAATAGGAGAGCACAGACACAGCAGAGAAGAAAAACAAAAGGGGGGAGGGGGAAGAACAGGTTTAAAGATGGGCAACATTCTAAAACACAATTCCCTCCCATAATAGATAGCTCTTCCACTGCTATTTCCCCCTCCTATTGCTAGTAATGTTAGTTAAATAATATAGTCTTAGGGATGGAACAAGGACTTCAGAAAATTAAGATTATTATGGAGAGAGATAAGAAGAAAAACATTTTTGTTACTGAAAGATATTTTGCAAACTGAATTGTGTAATATGCTTGTTCATAATATTTTTCTAATATCTTTGAATATAACAAAGGAAACACCAATATTATGGATTTTAGGAGAAAAAAATTCCTGCACTAACTAGTTATCAGAGGATTAGAATGGGGAAGTATGAAAAGCAGCTAGCCACAAAATAGATACTTTTGCTGGGTCAGGAAAAAAATGACTGTTCTGGAGGCAATAATTTTGCTTACTGCTGCCCCCAAAGTAGCTAGGAATACCAGGAAAGAGTAACTTCTCTTTCTTGCAAAATGACAGCAGAGTCTCCTAGCCTATACATCCCAACTTTGGCTTATTTAAAAAAAAAAAATCATTCCAGAGTAGCAATTCCCAAAATACAAACCAATGTTCTCTCAAAATCAAAACGAGTGTCTATCAACTACATCTTCATTCGCAGTCTAAACAAAATAAAGAATTGCTAGAGGGGAGGAAACCATCGTAAGTGCTGTTGCTGTTGCCCTTGCCCTCCTGGATAGCAGGAATCAAAAACTTCTCAGTAGATTTACAACCTGATGTTCTACCTTAAGCTTTTTTCATCCTTCCCTTTGGCTGAAATTCATAGGAAGACGTTTGTCATTTAGCTCTCTAAACCTCTAGTCATGCCAGTAATATAATTATTATGTTTCCCTGCAACATCTCATCAACATTTTCTTTTTGATTTCAAGATAATAGGAGGCATTTTCAGCAGAAAGGGCTTCCCAAACTGTCAGCTCCCTTGGATGTCCCAGATAACTATCATTACATACATTTTATGCCATGTAAATTCAATCCAGTCTGAATACTTGCCTTATACCATGGATGTTTTTGATTGCATAGCTGATTTCCCGTCGCAAATCTTTCTCATCAAACTCCATCTAAAAGAAAAAGACTGATATATAACCATTCTTCCATGTGTAGACCTTTTCCAAAAATATCTGTATTTTTGTGAAGTCATTTTATAGTGTGAACCTATGTCACGATCCAAGATCTGAGGATATAAGAATCAAGAGCAGGGTACTTAACCATATGCATTATCACCAGTGGAAGGAGAGCATCTTGAAATAGGTAGCTCCTCTCATCCAATCCTAGGGACAAATTCTGTCTCTGTCTAGTGGGAGGAGGGCCAGCAAACTTCACTGTATACTTCAGCACCTATATGCCCTACCCTTTGGTCAATGCTAAAGTCATAGCAACAATGATGCTGTCTGCTAATAATTAGTCACCAGATTTCAAACCTACTTAAAAGGTCAGGATAAACTCCTTCCACTGAGAAAGGTAAATGCTATCAGTCAACGTTAGCATTTTTTTTCTTGTGTGTGGAAAAATACATCCTCATGGGAAGCTTAGCATCCAGTTAGGAAAATGAGCCACAGTATTCTAGAATAAGATTTATAAATTATTCATCTGCCAAAGATGCAGTGAGCATAATAATATATTCAAATCAATAAAGTAAAAAAGTAAGCACAATAAAAAGCTAATTGCCTAAAAATTAGAATGTAGTTTGACAGGTGGACATAATCTAAACAAAGAATTCTTTTATTGATGAAGCTCTGCTTAAGTTCCAACATTTCATACAGAACAAAATCTGAATGTAGAAAGATTCAAATAGGAAAGCAGTCTCTTAGCTATGGTAATACTGAGCCATTTAGTGACTAACATCAGTGACAACCAATATAATTGTACTTAAGCAAGAGCTAGTCTAATGTGATAGCTAGATCCAATATACATAAGCATAGATTAAATAATTTAGCACAGGTGTAGTTCTCCAAAATTTGCAAGGGCACTATTGCTAGATTGTGGGACAACAAACTAAAGCCTGTGAACCAAATCTGGCCTACTGCCTGTTTTTGTATGGCCTGTGAGCTAAGAATGGATGGACGGGTAGGCGGCAGGCACACCCATGAATGCAGAGGAAGATGTGGGGTTATACAAAACATTTACTGACTCCTGTTCTAGATTGAACAGCTTAGTCTGCTGGCTTATTACCACTGTATTAATTCTATGTTTTTAAACACTATATGTTATATATGTGCCATTTTTAGAAAAAGCTACTGAAGTTTGCAAAATTCTTACAACTGCCTACCAAAACTCTTCAGAATGTGAATGACTGATAAGGTTTTTATCAGGAAAGGAAGCATGCAAAACCCAATTTCTGTTACACCTGCAATATGAGCATCTACAGTTGATGAAATCTTGACTGAGGACTGTAAACTTGACCCTCCAAGAAGGTTAAAGGAAAGAACAATCCCATATTGTTCATACAAGCCTCTCATGGAATCTGTAGTAATGCATTCTTATATTCCTGCTGCAATTCAGTGCATATATATTTGTTTCCACACAAAAGTTATAATTGTTGATTATTAGCTGGTTATATTATTGTGTCACAGAAGATAATAGCATAGGTGCAATTGCACTATCTCGTGTGATTGTTCAGTGCTACCTCTCAAAAATCTCAGATCTTTTGGAGATGTTGATGGCTTTTGATTTAAAAAATAATAATTGTGGGATGCCACCAGATGTTTTTGCCTCCATATGTGATATTACTATCCCTTGCTGTAACATATTACAGAGGGAGTTCTGGCTGCCAATATATGAAGTGTTTCTTCGCACTATGTTTCTATACTTCTTCCGACTACCCTTAAAAATAACTGCATGCCTTACCTGGAAACAAGAAATGTTTGGACTTACCTTTAAAGCACTGAGTGGCTTACTAACAAAACACCTAAAGAAGCAGCTCTCCATACCAACTTGCCTGTGCAAAGGCTTCCCTTGAGTTGCTATTGCCATTTTCTGAGATTTTTAAAACTTCTCAGTCTAGCCTACAGGATTTCCAAATGGTTTCCCCTCTAGGTACTAACTCAGTGTAATCCTGCTTATATTTGCCAAGGTCAGCTAAGGGGCATGGTGTAACCCAAGGATCTTACCAGAAATGTAATATATAATAGGAAAGGAGGCAGGTTTTTTAACATGCAGGCTGGTATTTTCTCTACCATTTATCCTATGCTAGGTTCATACTATAGTACGTCACTCAACTACTACTACTTTGTTATGGCTTTTAAAGTTACTGTTTTATTCCAACACATTAGACTTTAAATATTTATTATAAATATTGTTCTATAGCGGCCACAAATTTGTCTTAATAAAAGTTGAAACAGATTCTAAATAAGTATTTAATCCAGATATTTCTTCTAGAAATTCAACTGCCCTTACATCCAAAGAAAAAACATGTTAGATGCCATCAGCAAACAGATTGCACCAAAACATTGGAATTCTTAAATTAGACTTGAAGTAAATGTATTCAGAACTCTCTATTGTAAAATACTATCCTCCACACAAATACTCACTCTCTTCTCCCAAATACTTCCAATATTTGAATGTTACAACCATCCTACTGCTGGATACTGCCAGACTAGCTTTTAGGATCACTAAAGCAGTTTGTTTGCCAAATTCAGTTTCTGATATAGAAGACAGTTTTCTCCATAAAGATCACTAAAAGGTTAGGGATATGATTATAGTTTCCCAAGTCTTTTCAATGTAAATATTTCTTTTCCTGAAGCGAACAGATTTCAGGCTCTTCAATAATGGAGAAAGTAAGCTTTGCCTTAGAAGATGCAATTTTATAACAAAAATCTTATAGTACTTTCCTCAACTTGCTTGAGCTACTACAATGAATATGCATCAAGCACATTCATTTACACAAACATCTTTATAACTTTACCTATGTCCTTCTGAAACACTTAACATGTCCAAGGAATGTGATGAAGATGCTCAGCAAACGTTCACTTTTCCATAGACCAAAAGGGCAAGCAATGAAATTATGAACTGAACAAGTGAGAAAAAGCTGCTGATAGTCTAAAGATCTAATGGACATCATCCTAGCCTACTTACCACCCCACAATATCACTCTTGGCTGTAATCAATTAAAACAGTGCCTTGCCTTACCTGACTGCCTAAATGGGCCTTTGAGTTTGAAAGTCTGAAAGCACTGGACAAGTCTGTAAGACACTGGATTTACCATAAAGGTTCTTTTTCTACAGTGTATGGAGGGCATTCTGAAAATTAGATTGTTATTCTCACTTACTCTGGTAGGCAGACAGAAAAAACAGTAACAATCCCTAGAGTGTGAGGTGAAGGAGATGACTTCCTTTCTATTTATGAAATCAAAAAGCAGCAGGAGTTCCAAAGAAAATGTAAGAGAAAAAAACAAAAGTAAAATGAAATGCAATATCAAAATAGTATTTACCAAGGCCAAGCAACATCTTACTAGGGAGGGAGGGATGCTCTGTTTATGGTAGAAGAGGAATCTTCATCCAAGTTCAATATTCCATTTTCCTACAGTACATCCCTAATACTGGGATATATGAAAAAAGTCCCCAGGAAAGTCCAAGCATTTCAGAAACTTTCTTTTTCCAAGACACAGAAAACACACATAGTAACTTTAGTATATACATCTCCAAAGGAACTTTGGTGTCAAAAATTACCACAGGGATCTCTATTCCTTGTAGAATGGATTGTAATTTATAAGATCAGACTTAGTATCATAAAACATAGAAAACATAACACTAGATCCACCTTGATAACATGGTAGTAGAAATACTACGTCTAAAGGTTGCCTGCTGGAAGGATATTCTGTTTAACAGAAAGTCCTAGTCCTAGTTTTACAAAGAAGATACATTGCCCTAAACATATCCAACCTATGCTAAACCTTATCCAGAGAAGTCTAGGCTTAGGAGAAAATGATAGCTGAAGCAACATTATTCCAAAGGGCCTTTGAAAGCTGAGGTTGCCAAATAGTTTGGCTCTATCTGATGGCTCAAAGGATGGCTGTATTTGATTTTAACTTTTTATGGTGTTTTTACCTGTATTTTTTATATTTTTATTGTTGTAAACTGCAAGAAGTCTTCAGATTCTAGTAATACAGACATGTGAAAACTGAAAATTCTTAACTAATCAGCCAAAATTAGACATATCCAAGAAATCCCTTTCATACTACTTCTTTAAAACATTATAAAAAGAACTCTCTATAAGTAAAAGATAAATAACAGACTACCTAAATGGATCTGAATTTCCTAACACATAGGTATTTCTAAGACTATGTATTTTCCACTTATGTACCTCTTAATACAGACAAATGTCTCTTCATCATTCTCAGACTTTACAGAAAGACAAACATACATATTCTGTTTAGGTTCTCATTGCTAGGATGATGTTTCCAAAGCATTTCCAACGGAAGTAAATATTTCTTCTTTCTATGCTTAGGAAAACCTCCAGAGCCAGGAGAGAAGAAAACTAAAGATTGGGGTGTCTCTTATTTTTAAGAAGTATGATGCACAACTAATCTCTCCTTACATGTCTGGATCTTGTACATAGCCAGGAAACGAAGTGCTAGTGTTGGCCTATCTAACAAAAGCTGGTATCTATGTTTCTCTCTCTCTTAGCAGGAAACAAAGAACTGAGAGGAGTAATTTTTACTAGTGGTTTAAAATACAGCAGTACTCTAAAACATTTGACTTTGAGAAACTCATGTGAGCTCTGACAAACATTGAAATGGACTTGGTTACCAAGGTTAGCTAAACCAATACAGCATGAAACCCATAGCTTCAATCTCGATGAACAGCATATTTGAAAATCAGATACACACTCCTCTGAAGAGAATAGTTTTTAGCACTTTTACCTTGACCAACTCAAAGGGGAACCTCTCATGAAAAATGCGATTTATTCGGGCTCCACCTGAGAGTTCTAGTGTATCCACCTGATCTCCAGACCCTTCAATTCTCTTCTCAAAATCAACTGCAAACTGTTGGACCATTCTGCAAAAAGATAAATGGGATAATGACTGTTTTTCAAACCTGCTGAGTCATGGAAAACCCAATAAGCAATTAAGAATATTCAGAGAGGAATGCTTTTAGGTACTGAATCAACTTCTGTTGGCATCTTTCTATGAAAACAAGTTTTTGCCAGAAAGATAAAAAAGTTTCTCCAGCAAGTGGTGAAGCTTCCTGCTGATGACTAAATTTATGTTCATCTCAACATGAGAAAGTACTCTAATTTTTTAATGTACTATCAAAAA